TACATTTCACGAAAGCGGAGCGAATAATATGTTCCATCCCAAACCTGGCGCTTTGCAAGGCCCCTTCCCCACAAGTGCCGTAGTCAAATTTGGCGCGTGTGACCCCTTCTCTGATGAGGAGTTGGCGGCAAAATGAAAATGAAAACGACGTTCTGGCTCCGCCATCTAGTTGCTTGAGGGAGATCAAGGACGGCAGCTGGGTACAAAGGAAGGCAGTTTCTCTATCGGAGAGAGAGAGTGAGGGACGAGACACGTTACGGGGCGCATGCATCATCGTGTATGCCTCAATAATCTCGCGTTCATATCATCCCCTGAGCGGCCCGATAAGACGCGCCTCAGAGAGAAAACGGCTGTCGGGACCAAAGAGTTCTCCAGGCAGGAGCCTGGCCTAGTCTTGCTTGAGCAGGGCCAGGCCAGGAACCGAAGGACAACCCCAAGCAGAAATATCATGAGACGGGAAGGTTTCTCACGATAACATCCATTGCATACATGTCTACAGAAGAATTTACATCCCCAGAGAGCACACACGCAGCTGCTTGCTGCTCCTTTTTAAAGGGTCACTTGGCCCCACCTCCCTACTAGGGAGTCCATGCAGTAATGTTGGCGGTCAAGGGTGGCAAAGCTTCCGCTTCCAGAGTCTGAGCCCTGCTCCTGTTTCTTTCCTTCACACGCACGCCCAGCTGACACATGCAGACGATACTGACCCAGTGGCACCTTGTCACTCCTGGGTTCGCCGTTGCTGCCATCGAGTCTGGACTGAAAAATACAAAGCTTCCAAAGACGAGAGATATTCCAACTGACCCCTTAAACAATCTTTGCTGGAAAAGACTCAACTTGAGGACTCTCTCTGTGGGGGAGGCCGGCTTAACCTCTTTTGCTCAGGTGCATTGCGCCCTAACACGACGCTGGGCAATGTTGCCAGTCATTGACGGCTCAGACTGTCAGTCGCCGACTGTCGCTGGGGTGACACTCCCCGGGTGGGTGGGGGGGAGAAAGGAATGGGGCCTCCACAAAGGCCTATCACAGCACTGCTGACTTTAGATAAATTCTCTGTGTTGAAAGTTGAAAGATCAGTCGTCCTGTCCATCCCCGTGTTTATTTTTTCATTAAAGGGCAACTCCGCTCAATTTAGAAAATTTCGAGATAGTGCCCGATTTTGCTTTGAGAAGCACTCAAAAACAATCCCCAATCCTTTGTTTTGCGAAAAATAAAATATTTTTCGTGCAATTTTTACTCTAGCCATGATCGCAAGCTGAAACCGAAACGGTGGCAAAACCGGTCAACATTGTATCTTCGGCATCACTAAGCATGTACACCCACGTGATATACAAGGGGTCACGTGATCTATCACGCGGACATGCGCTTCGCAGTCATCGTTGCATAGTCTGCAAAGCACGTGCCATCGCACGTCAATATGCACTGAATACACGCCGCGCTCAACAAGGCGATGGGCCTATCAGTAGGGTATCAATAGTCGAGCGCCGAACCGGCTGAGCGCGTCGCTCACGTCTCTCACGGCATTGGCGCCACCCGTGCTCTCCCCGGGAAAAAAAACAAAATTGAAAAAAAAAAAAAAAACTACGAAACAAACAACCTGTACATGCTCGATGACGTCACGGATGTGCCGGGAGAAGGAATTTGGAGGAATCGGAAATGCAGCCGGGCAGTGTTGTCTGGCCCGCACCGTCTCATCCAAAACCAGCGGATTTGTGCTTGTCAAACATTGACAGCGATTTTAATGAACTTCTAGGCGGAATTCCATCGTAATATTTGCCATGTGGGCTTTGTAGATGATAATGAAGAGAACTGTAGTTTTGCACTAGTGGAAAAGAAGCGGAGTTGCCCTTTAATGCACAACGGACGATTCGTGCAGCTAGGCTGTTTGCAGCACATACCTACCATGAATAATTAAGCAAGATGTGTGTATGTGTTGAAACATAATTATTTAATGACCAAAGAAGTGGACATGCTGTCAACAAGGCTAATGAATCCAGTGATGTTCTCAATTCAAATCGACTTGATGCAGTAAGTCGTGTGACGTCACGGGACTACGTGACGTGGCATTACTTGACAGCATGTCTTGACACCATGACATCACGTGACCACGTGACACATGATTAATCATAGTTCGAATACAGAAATGCAACGAAAACCCACAATTTTTTATATTTTGGAATCCTGTAAATGATGGTATGATCAATACATAGAAATACAGAGCTCCGCTATTTTTTTATTCTCAAATGTTTATTTTGTGATATTAAGAAAATATAAAAGAAATTACCATGGATCGTTTTAAGCCGGTTACTGTTATATTTTTTTTTCCGGTTCAGCTCCGGTTCAGTTCCAAAACGGTGGCGAAGATTTCGGTTCGGTTCAGTTTCGGTTCAGGCTAAAAATAACGGTTATGTTCCAGTTTTTGGTATGGTTCAATTCCGGTTAAACACTGGTGTAAAACGTTTGTAAAGAACATATCAAGCACCTATCCCAGTAAACTTTTGAGGACTGAGGTACTCATCTGTGTCAGTTGCTTTTCCGAGAAGCCGGTGCAAAGAGGGGAAGCTTTGCGCATGTGCATCGGTGGGAGGGGTAAAACATGACGCGAGGGTGCCGGCGCAAAGCAGGCTTAATGAAAGTGGAGCAGCCGCTTTAAAAATGAGGGGTTCTGCCAGACCCCATACTGCTCCTATACCTATCAAACAAGGGTCTGCTTTTGTGCTCTCGGACCTAACGTATCTTTGGGACAATAGTTCGTAGGAGTGAATTTTGGCTGAAAAGGGAAAGTTTGTCCTTGGATAGTCCGCACCTGCAGTCCACACATTGAAAATGATCATACGAAGCGTACTTTGGCATAAAGAAATCATCATTAACATACGCCGTCATTCCCAAATTGTGTCACGTCCCTTTATGTTAAAACAAAAAGACTGTTGTGTAGTCCGACCTGTATATAGTCTGTGCCGCATGAAATTTTGACTTTTACACGCGTATACTCCGCTGACAGTAGTTCGGAAAATACAGTAACAAGCGGCCACCACCATTTTCTTGGGTGATTATCTCCAACTTTGCATGGGCATAGTATTTTACGGCACAGTCCCAGCGTTCTCCTCGGCACTCTAATCGGGTAATTGGCCGAACGGCCTGTCGAGGCGGGCGCGACGCTTGCGCCATGGCGTGCCAATACTTTTGAGTTCTTAACGCTCTTAATATTCAATGGCTCGATCAGATCCGCGAGAGGCATTAATTGGAGGGGAGGCAGCAACGCTCGGCGGAGCGGTTAATTGTTTCCCGCCCGGGCAGGATGGGACTCGTTGGAGCGTCCTGCGGCTGCCGTGCCGTTGCAACACTCCCGGGGCGTGGGAACATTCTCGGCAAGGTTGCCCGTCTGCCGTGGGTCGTCGTCTGCGCGACAGACGACGACCCACGGTACAACGGAATGTAACTTCAAGTTCCAAGATTATTAAAAAAAAAAAAGAAAAAAGCTCATAAAAAGACAAGGACAGGAACAGGAAATGAACACAGAAGAAAGGCAAGCGCTGACTCACGACTCAACTGTATTGTACGTTGAAAAAAAGTGAGAAGCAGGAGTGTGCGTCATGCACGAGGGAAAGAACACTGGCACCAGGGTTGCTTCTGGTGCCAGTGTTCTTTTCCTCAAGCCTGCTACACGTTCCTGCTTTTTTCTTCTTTTCTAAGTACAATACATTTGAGTTGTGAGTTAGCAGTTGTCTGTCTTCGGTGTTCCTTCCCTGCACCTGTCCTCATCCTTTTGTGCACTGTTTTTTCATAATGCTCAACCAGTAGCACCTCGCCCAGCTTACCGCCTTACTTCAATCTCCGAGATTCGTTTCTTTTCTGTTGCTGACGGGGGTGCCTGGGTTTTCGGTGCCCATTTTGGGGTGGGAACTGGTGCGGCTGATTTTTAACGCAGAATGTGTCATAACTAGGGCTGGGTGTTGATTACAAGTTTTAACGCGATTAATTGCCACCCTTTAATCAATCAATTAATCGATTAATCAGTCTTATTACCTTCCATGCATAATATTTTTTAAAAGCTGAAATTAATATATCTTTTTTTGTTTATGCATCTGCTGAATATGAGGTAACCTAAAGGGTGGAATATACAGTTTTTATTATGGATCATCCTTTATGTGTAGTTAAGAACATTTCAAAGGCAGTCACACTCGCAGATTATTACTTCTGCATGAGCCAAAGAGGTTTGTTGATATTCTCCGCCAAGAGCGACCTGCTCTGAATATTCACAATAGTCTCTGCTGCGCTAAGCAAACACTCGAGCGGCGTTGGAGTGGCCGGGACACGTGTAACCTTCTGCACTTTTCAAGAGTTACAAACCTTGCCCCTACAGTTTGCTTTAGGCAAAATTTTGACCTAAAATTTGCCCTTCGTTCAGGTGTTCTCGTCCACGTCTGCGGGGTGAAACCGTTTACTATTTACTATTTTGGTTCATAAAATTTTGCCGATTAACCGGTTAAAAAGATGAATTGATTGATTGGTTAATAGATCAATTGCCCAGCCCTAGTCGTAACTGTGGTACCCGGAAGGCATCTCCAAACCGGTTTGTTTCCCGCGTCTTAAAGAGCGGTCCCTCGGTTTCCGCCCGATGACGTGAGTGAAGTGTCGCGTCGTCGCTGGCTGCAACCCTGGTGTCTGGTGTCAAGCAATGGCCGCCAATGGTGCCGCCGACGGACTCCCGATCCGAGGTCCAACCTACTACAATAGAGATCAGTGTTCTGAATCAACCCTGATACTTCCCTCTAAATTTAGTGGGCATATGCTTCCTGCTCGATTCGGCGAAACACGAGTCCGCCAGAATTGGCAGAATTCAGCATGACCCCCGCACCCGGCGCAGCTAGAAACATGCTGCGGATTCTGTGTCTCCCAACCTTGTCGTGGGATGAGAACGCATTAAATGTTTTTTATTGTCTCGGTTATCATTTAGTGTCAACTTAGCAGTGCAGCTCGATCGACGTCCTCCTTGCCCACAGGCCTTCCGGACCCGTTCTGCAAGATCAGCGTGGACGGGTCTGGCCAGTGTCACTCGACGGATGCCTGCAAGAACACCCTGGACCCAAAGTGGAACCAGCACTACGACCTGTGAGTAGATCTCCCGGAGCCCCTGGGCCGGCTGGCCGGTGATTGTGGGTTTCTCTCCCGTTGTCTAAACTAGCTGCTAGAGGGATTTCGAAGTCGCGTGACCGGCTACCGTAAGTTCGTCCCCGCTTCGAGTATTGGATTACGACTTGGTGCGCTAAAGGAGGGTGAACGGGCGTGAAACGTAAGTGAAGTAAATCGCAATCGTGCACCTGAGGGCCGATTCACACGACGGACTGATCCGCGAACAAATTGATTGTGCGACGACACGTCTGCGGTTCGTCCATCTCCCAAGCGCATCCACCCAAAGGAGACGACGGGCAGACGACAGCGAGGACTGGCCGAACCCGTTCGCCACCCCACAGTGCCGCGCAACTCCAACCTTGCACTGTGGCACCGTCGTCCAAGAGTGAAATCGACGTTTGCTGCTGCCAAAAAGAACTGTGTGCTGCCGTCGTGTGCAGAGCAAGACGGAACACTGCGATGGGCTTAGCGTGAAGCACAACGGTGACACGACCGTGGTCCCGCTCGAGGAGGCTTCAGTGTAAAGGCGACGAAGTCCCAGGCTTGCGGAGGAGCGTTGGTAAATGCCTTCCTGCACTTCGTGCTAGCGCAGAGCACTCGAGTAGACCACAGCCACAAGAAAGGTCTTGCCGGATGAAAGGCCGATTGGACGCGCAAAAAAGAGTGCGGTGCGCTAGACGAGTTGTGACGGAAGCTTCTAGACACGGGCCCGGAGGAGTACAGTAACCCGCATCGCATCACCCGGTCAAAGTTTCTGCATTTCCTCTCGCGCATGGAACCAAAAATTGTGCAACAAAACAAACCGGCGAACGCACAGAACACAATAATGTGGCATCATTGTTTTAGTCACCCCACCCCCACCCACCCCACCCACCCAGGAAAAAGAAAATGTCGTACTGTTGTCAGACTTAATGCTTTTCAAGTCAATAACTACCAGAAATCCACGTATGCACAGTGGCGCAGGCAAAGGGGGAAGGGGGGGAATCAAACTCCCCCCCCCCCCCCCCCCCTCTCTATAACCATGGGTTTTAGAGCGCAGCTCTAAGGCGCCCGTTTCCAGGTTTCGCGGCATCGCTGTCGGCGTAACCGTGTTAAATTTATTGGGAAGATTTACGTCATATGACCTCAACACCAATTCACTTGCCTGCTAACTTTAGCTGGTAAAATGGACGTCACATAACCTCAACAAGAATTCAATTCTCCGCTAAATTTAGCGAGAAAATTGACGTTACGTGACCTCAACACCAATTCAGTTTCCTTGCTAAATTTAGCAGGAATATGACGTCACATGACTTGGTGTCACGTCACCTATGAAGAAATTCAGTTTCTGCGCTATATTTAGCGGAATAGACGTCACGTCAAGGGTGATCTCAACAGCAGTCCGATTTCCCATTAAATTTAGCAGGAAATCGAATTGTTGTTGAGGTCACGTGGCGTCAATTTTTCATCTAAATTTAGCGGGGAAATTGTGGGAGGGTGTACAGCAGGAGGGAGGGTGGGTAGGCAGGGGTAGGGGAGGCAGTGGAAAGGGTATGTAGGAGTAGGAGGGGTATACCCTCCCCTCCTCCTCAAGAGCTATGCTCTTAATTTTGCATGAAAGAAATTTGTAAATATCCTCTCATTTTTGTTTCTAAAGAAGGAAAACAAAATTTTGAATGACTATAGTACAGTATGTCGAAAACTACACGCAAAGGTGAGACAAAGCCCCCCCCCCCCCCTTCCCCCCCTCGAAAATAATTCCTGGCTACGCCATTGTATGAAAAGGTGCTCAACCACAACTGCATACATCGCAGGAATTGGCAACTTGGCGGTCACCTAGCACACGGTCGGCGGATGAAAATCGCGATTTGCTCAGTCACATTAAGCGAGACCAAAACAAAATGATAAGGAGGCTCACGTCTGCCGACGGAACTCGAGGTACCTTTTCCCCCCGGAGCTGGTCGCACGACCTCGAAATCCCTCGTACGGCCATTTTAACCTCCGGGAGGGATACCTGCATTCATTGGCGAAGTGGTTTTGGTGCCGCTAGGCCGGCTATGCTCGGAGTTCCAACATCCCTGATCGTCGTACGGGTGCTGCTATCTTGTTTTCCGGTGCGGAGCGGAGCAAACAGCGACGGTTCCGATTCAACGCTGCGACAGCCCGTTGGGGCCAACTAACATCCGGCCATCCAAAAATATATATGACGTAATTCGTTACGCGGTGTCTGGAAGGCTCGGGCAATGTCGTTCGTCTTGCTCCGTCGCTGGCTGCTTTAGGTTTTGTGGAGAATGGCAAGGCATTTCCCGCAATTTCGGATGGAACTTCAAGTGACAGGCAACAATAATTTTACGCATAATTTTAATTTTGATTTAAATTTTGTAATTAATAATTTGACCTCAAAGCATAAATTTGTTAGTGGCTCCGAAGGGATGTCCAAAAGGGACTCATTTTCTGCAGTCGCAGCATCTGCTGTACTGGGTATGGATGCTTTGCTCCAGATCCGGTCCGCTTTGGGGCTCGTTATGTGGGTCCGGACAGTCACTCATGCGCTCTGCTGGCTGTCACCGAGGCCTCCACAGTTGATATCGGTTCCCAACCTCTCGATTACAAGGAGGGAGGAGGCGACTGGGAGGAGGCAAGGAGGAAAGCTTTGCTGTTTCTGGTTCGTGTCCTCGCCAAAAACGTACACACATATCGAAACATTAGTGTTTTTTGGGAACCATGTACGCTTTCTTTGCTGTGCACGACAGAAGGCGTGTCTCGTGCGAACGGCTCTTAACCTGCTCTGCACTCCCCGTGTGCCGCAGGTACCTGGGACGCTCCGACTCGATCACCCTGAGCGTCTGGAACCACAAAAAGGTGCAGAAGAAGCAGGGGGCAGGCTTCCTGGGCTGCGTCCGCATCATGGCCAACGTCATCCAGCAGCTGAAGGACACCGGATGTGAGTGGCGGATGGGGGCGGTGGCGTACGCACCCCGTGATGGGACGACGTTGTGACGTGATGAAATGTTATAATGTCGCATGACATTGCGGTGTCATGCTACGTTACATCGCGATGTCATGCTACGTTACGTCGGGTCCCATCATAGCATTGTATGATGTCGCAGCGTTATGCTACCTCAGTGTCTCACGACGTAGGCGTTGCGTGAGCTCGCATGCCACGTGACGTCAACGTCATGCGATGCCATGTTGGACATTGTGTCGTGTGACTTCAGTGTTGCAACGTGATGCCACGGTGTGACGCGATGCAATGCCACAATGTCACGTCGTGTGACGTCGGAGAGGACTCCCTCGACGTTGTGCATTTAGAGCGCTTTTAGAAACGCGTCGAGCGACATGTTGCAGTGTCGCTCGACATCGCGAAGTCATCGAGGCTACGTTCCGTGGCCTGTGCGTCGAGAGCCCTTCCTCCCGGCACTCTAGAAAGGGGGCGCGTGGGTGTGCAGACCAGCGGCTGGACCTGACACGCAGCAGCGGGGACGACGGGGACCTGGTGCGGGGCCAGATTGTGGTGAGCCTGCTCTCCAGGGACGGCCACGGCCTGGGCAGCCAGAACGTGGTGGTGGACCTGCTGGGCAACCTCTCCCTCCAGGACGACCTGCCCGAAGGGTGGGTGCCCCCTCCCCTTCCTGTTCCCTTTCCTGGGAGCCTCTTTGCCACCCACCTTGCTTACAAACGGGGTCCCCCCTGTACGGGCACCTACCGAAAAACCCCGCACCCCCAAACCGGTTGTATTAAAATCTGGGAAACCTGAAAAAACCCCAATCGAAACAATCCTTGAATGAGAAACACCCGAGCTTCATGGAAAGAAGTCTTTATTTAGCGCTCTGTTTTGTCCCAGAACACGGTCCACGCCGAACTGTCGGCGAGGCTGCCTCTCCTTTCGAGAACCATGCCCCTTGTCTTGTTTTCTTCTTTTTTTAACACACTTTCTGCTAAATCTGCATTGGAATGACCTACTGAAACCCTTCGTTGTGCCGGTGCTTGGTTTGCGTCGTGACAGAGTGTGCGCGCTCCCGCAGGTGGGAGCAGAGGCGCGCGGCCACGGGGCGTGTGTACTACGTGAACCACTGGAGCCGCTCCACCCAGTGGGAGAAGCCAGTCAGGTGGGTGCACGTGCATGGCGCTCGGCCTCTGCTCTCTGCTGTGTGCAGGGTGTTACCCTAATGTCTGGAGAGATGGCCCGCCTAAAGTCGAAAGCAAATGGGGTGAAAACAAGCAGTAGGCTAACTTGCGGTGTGTGATAAAGAAAGGTTTGAAAAAGGCTAGTTTTAGACTTTGTGAACTGTGAAACTCGTGATCGCAGGAAGAGGCATTGAATCAAAGACTGTCCTTCCCAGTCAGCAATGTTTGCTTATCTCCCACTGTGCCTAAGAAACTCCATTTCTGCCAAGGTCACCAATGGCCAGGACCCTGTGCTTTCTAAAAGTGTTTTTGTATTTCTTTGTTTTTGAAAAAAAATAGGGAATGATGCTAAAAATTGGGAGGTGGGTTATTTTTCGGTGGTGAGGTATCTCAAGTTGTTACGGTAATGTAATAATCTAGAGGAAAAGCTCCACCAGATTTCAATCAATTTCGGTCGCTTCGAAACGGCATAGGCTCGTACGTCAGTGGCCCCAGTGGACCCATACTGCTGCCATACTGCAAAGAAGCAGCAAAACACCACTTACGAGGACTGTACCCATAGTGAAATCCTGCAAAACTGCGCATCCAGAGTGGTGAAAAATATATCTTTGGGGATGTGACAGCAAAATTTGATCAGGAGTTAGTGGTAAACACTGGTGCACCCGCTACGAATCGCGTGAAACGGGAACTTAAACCATAGATTGCGGATGCAGCAGGTTGGTACTTTGGGACGCTATAAACGCACGAGAACCCGCTACAAACAAACGGAAAAGGGAGGTTGCCGAGGTTTTGAAATTTTAATGTAACAGATACCTAGCCAAAAAAGATGGCGTAAGCGATACCTTGGGGAGGGCACTCAAAGGGATTTTATGGTACAGTGCACTCCACTTATAATGATGCCACATATAACGATCTACTGCTTACTACAATCAGTTTCTAGCGTTTCTAGACAATAAACAATCAGTTTCTATTCCAGATAATAATCAATTATGACAATTGAATTTTCATGTTTTTCACTATCGTGATAAGTGGATTCTGCCATAGTTGTTTTCTAACTTTATTTTGCACAAAAACGCTGGCGTCATGCAATGCACAAAAAGAAATAAAGTCGTCAAGCATTTGAACTTCAACTCGTCGCGGCACCGTTGCGTCCGAGGGCCAGACCTGCCTGCGTCTCCTATGCCTGGCGTGGCCTGGACCCTGGGCTTGGGTGCCAGGCGAGATCATTTAACCCTCGCAGGGGAATGGGAAAGAGGGACGGGCTGATCTCAATAAGAGCATCGGCAAGACAAAGGGACGGGTCTTTAGTTCGGTACCAAATGAGAGGTACAAGCCGCCCTCTGACGGAGGCAAAGTCCGCGGCTCGATTCGTCGAAGTCTTCGCTTATTTGTTCCGTCATCTGTCACTCGTTCAAATGTGTCTACTATTAAGTTTACGGAGTTTAAAACTCGAAGTTGTCCTGTCTGATCTGCTCAGTGCCGCCGAGGCCTAGCGGGCACCCCTTCCTCCAGACCACCAGGGAGGTAAAATGTCCAATCTACTACCAAGAACGTTACTGGGCCGGCGTCTCAAACTAGAAACAATATTGGAATTGCTTTTAACTCAAATAGAGTCTTGCTACCTAATTGTCACGCTATACATTTCTTTTTTTTATTCTGGAGTTTTTTTGGTTTTGTTTTTTGTAACGTCTGTCTTGTGCACATTAAAAAAAAAAATTAATAAATCTTTTTTTTTTTAAAGGAGTCCTAGCTGTTTTTATTAGCTAACCAGGCACTATAGATTTTGCGAACCCTGGGGTTTGCCCTTCTTGGCATGCTATTTATTACCTCTAAAATCGGAGTAGCTATTTACAAAATGGCAAAAAAAGGTTAGGCCAAAACCAACTCAGATTTTTCCCCCCGCTTTCCAGCAGTGTGGCTTCGCCTTTTGGGAAACTTGCAGATTGGGAAGGGTGTGTTGCACCTTTTTATCAGCCTGCCGAATGCGAGCCTCCATAGCATTAATTTCATGTCATCAAACTCCTAACCCATTGGGAACTAGCCATATGCTCCCAAATTACGACATTTGTCGTCACTCTTTCCAGTGTTGCCACTCTGGGAGTACAGTAAGGACCACAATTTGTAAATTCTCTAAATGTTTTTTTCCATCTATTGTTTTTGGTTACAAGTCCACTCTTGTCTGTGTTTAACCAACATTTGAGGAAAATTTGCAACCATCAATATTTTCCCGGCGTCCCCATTTAAAGGCTGGTTGACACACTTTCAGCTGCTCACGACCAAGTGCCTTACAAGTTCTTGGGACCTCCTACGACGACAGCACAGCACTGGCGCCATCTGACAGTGTGATAACCGACACATTTCTTGTAGATGCTATGTGCATTGGATATAGCAAATACCGCAAAACCTTTGGTCTAGTGAAATGCAGTTCCAAGGTCACTTCGTAGACGACGCTAGCGTACCATGATTCACTGCACAGAACTATTGATTTCTATGTTTTTTGACCGAATTGATGATGCTCCTTCCAGGCCTGCCTACGAGCTGCTGGGCGTGGCGTCCCCCAACGGGGCCCCTCCCTGCCCGCCACCCCTGGGGGGCCGGGGCGGACAGCGGCAGTCGATGCCGCCCCCGGCCTGCCCCGTCGCCCCGCCCAACCAGGACTGGGGCCAGGCCCCGCCTCCCCCCGGGGAGGACGGGGACCCGCCCCCTCCGTGCGAGGGGCCGCCCCCCAACGCCCGGCGGAGGTCGACCCGACACCGCAACTACCTGGCTCGCAACCAGCTGCACAGGGCCACCGCCGACCTGCCCGAGGGCTACGGTGAGGACGGTCGGTCTGTCCCGAGGTTTGGCCAGTGCAATTTGGTCGACCGGAAGCGATTCGTTCGGTGGGGTGGGACATTACGGTGATATCCGGAGAGATTGCCCGCTGAAATCGAGAACAGGTTGGGTAAAAGTAGATAAACTAACATTAAAAAAAAAAAAAAAAAAAAAGACAGAAAGACATTTACAAAACTTTGTAATGCTGAACTATAGTGCAGCTCTTGAGGGGGGGGAAGGAAGGGTACAGAGGGGAAGGTATGCACCTCCTCCTCCTTCTTTCCTCCTCTCCTCCTTTCCTCCACCTCTCCCTCCTTTCCTTCTTCCTCCTCCTCTTCCCTCTTCCTCTCCTCCTCTTCCCGCTGAATTTGTTCATGGGGGACGTGAGACGAAGTCATCTGATGTCATTTTCACCGCTAAATATAGCGGGGAAACTTCATTGGTGTTGAAATCACGTGATGTCAATTTTCCCACTAAATTGACATCCCGTGACGTCAACACCAGTTCAGTTTCCTCGCTAATTTTAGCGGTGACAATGACGTCAGATGACTTTGTGTCACGCCACCCATGAACAAATTCAGATTCTCCGCGTGACCTCAACAGCCATTTAATTTCCTGCTAAATTTAGCGGGGTAGTTACGCCGACACCAACGGAGGCGCCACGTATTGCAGAAACGGGCGTGTAACAGCTGCGCCCTAAAAATTTTGTTTTAGCTTTTAGTCTCGGCGGTGCAAGCTACCACATTTTATGAAGTCTACAAGTCCATCCATCCATCTGTGGTAGGGTTTTAGCCCCGCTAGAATTGTACCACAGATGCTAGTGCGGTATGATGCTAACCTAAGAGTGATTTGATGAGTCATAGGATGCTAACCTTAGGCCTTGCAGTATGGCAGTGACCTAAGGCCTTCAAGTTACAATGTGGTCGGAACAGTAGAATGTTAACCGAGAGCATTGAAGGTAAAATTCGGCTGATACAGTGCAACATTAACACTTGACCTTGCCCACCATAGACTTTTACCCATTTCGAGAACCCTGACATCATTTATAGCCTAGAAAGAATTAAAAACAAACCAGTTCGACCGATTTGTAACAGTTTATAACGGTGACCGAGCGCACATACCCGGCTCACTCGTGACGCATTGCGCACATCTCCGAGCCAAGACGCGCTCGATTTCCTTACCGGTGCAGAGGTGCGGACGACGCAGCAGGGGCAGGTGTACTTCTACCACGTGGCCACGGGAGTGAGCACCTGGCACGACCCCCGGGTGCCCCGAGACCTGGGGGCCCTGGACCCGGATGCCCTGGGGCCCCTTCCCCGGGGCTGGGAGGTGCGCTCCACGCCCACGGGCAGGCTCTACTACGTCGACCACAACAACCGCACCACCCAGTTCACCGACCCCCGGCTGCCCCTGGCGCCCAACGCGCAGGCGGCGCAGCCGGCACAGCCCCCCGCCGCTGCGGGCTCCACTCCGTCCAGGTCGGTTTGCCCGGAGCGCCCAGAGCGCGTTTCAGACTGGCATGTCCATTGCGTCCTCAAAAGTGGCACCTTGATGCATGAGCAGGTGTAAGAGGGGGGGTGACCCCCCCCCCCCCCCCCTTTTTAAATTTTTTTATGCGTCATACACATAAAAACCTTGGCAAGCATAAACACCCTGTCAGAGCCCCTTAAAGGGCCCCTGACACGGCAAAAATGTTTTTTTTTTTTCATGCTACGCGTTGAAATGGCATGTCGGGACATTACAAAAAAAATTGTTTCACTATAGAGGTGCATAGTTCTTTTTATAAAAAATAGAAATAGGAGGCCTAATTCAAAGTTCCCGCCAGTGCGCTGTGACGTAACATCAGAAAGGAGGCATCCACATACGTCACTAAAAGTGGGTTCGCAGGAAGTCACGTGAGTTTCACTCCTCGTGCTCTCCGCGACCGTGCCTACGACTTTTTTTTAATTTTCTGCTCTTTGTACGAGCGATTGTAGAAAACAAAGTTTCAGTTCCACTAGCTTTTTATTGCTGCACCGTTGGTTAGTTTGCGTGCTGTAAAAGTTGAGGACGAAGAGTCAGTTGATCGATGTGATGGAGGTCAATGATGAAAGCGTTGCGAGTACAAGCCAGTGTACGAGTGCATGCCATCAGTCCGATGATACAGAGCCATATTGGGCACAAAAAAAGCTATCAAGTTTTGAAAACAAAAAATTTTAGAATGCTCGCAAAAATTAGGATTGCTTGCGTACGACACGTCCAATTGCATTCCTGAAACTTCGGACACCGAGGTCGTCGATTCATTGTATACTCTCCAGGCTGAAGATGCCTGCCGTCTCTCGGAAATGCATGCAGTGTGATCTCTTCTTTAGTTGCTGAAATACCGGGACAGTCCCTCACACAGCACCTTCTAGGCATTGTAGTTGATCACGTCAATTCACTGACGACTCTTCTTCTACCTTTACTGCTACATTAAGCTATGAAAAGCAAATAAAAGATACCTTGTCTGCTAGGATCGCTCGTGGAGGTGCGGAGAATAACAAAAATATAAAAAAAAATATTACACGCACTCGTGGTAAGCACGAAGAGGGATACAGCTCACGTGACTTCTGGCGATGCCTCCCTTCTGACCGCCCCGACACCTTGACATGCACTGTTACGTCACAGTGTACTGGCGGGAACTTTGAATTGGGCCTTGTATTTCTATTTTTTATAAAAGAACTACACACCTCTATAGTGAAACAATTTTTTTGTAATGCCCTGACATGCCATTTCAACGCCTAGCATGAAAAAAAAAATATTTTTGGCTTGTCAGAGGTCTTTTAAAGGGTAACTGACAGGGTGTTTATGCTTGCTGAGGTTTTTATTTGTAAATGACGTATGAGAGCCACATTACCAAGAACACAATTTGTGGCTTGAAATTTGTTTTTTCCACCCGAAAACTGTTGATTGAGAACTGGCTGGTTTGAGTTGCGCTCGCTCTCTTCTCCGTTGGTTTAGACACGATCACCAAATAAAATCAAAGTCGTGGGTCCTCGAAGGCACATACTCAATATTAAAAATAGAAACAAAATATGATATCTATTTTTTGTGGCTTCTAAGAAGTTGCAAATACATTGATAGAAAAACTAAAAGTTGGACAGCCACGTGTCTTCTGGCAACACTCTCCTTCTCAATACAGTGAAAGCTCGTTAATTCACAACTCATTAATTCAAACTTTTGGATAATTGGAACCAGTTGCCATGGTTCGGTCATGCTGCGTAGAGGTACGTGTGTAAAACGACCCGTTAATTCACGCTCGAATCGTTTCCGGCACCGACAATTCAAACCACGCGCCGCCATGCGTAAAGCTTTTCCGGTCAAGCGACAGGCGGCGCGGCGCGTTCCTAAATGCGGCAGGCGCGTTGCAGGAAACGCGAGAGCGTCGCCGGTATCCACTGCGGGCCAATAGGAATGCGCACATGGATATTTGGAACAACATCGCCAGGCATTCGAGAGACCAATAGGGACGTTCAGAGTGGTTTCTTTCGCGCTTTTCGAAGGCCTTCACGTTCCTTTGTTCTCCGCATTACCAGTTCTGCGGTTCTGTTTCCGTGCCTCGTTGATCCGGGCCTACTGTGTTTGAGCCGTTGCGCGATCGCCGATCCATTTGTGCTGGTGACTTAGCTGATGGTGTTGGCCGTACTGGCGGTACGACCGGGCTACTTGCTACGCGCTTTAAGACCGCAATGTCGTCATCGGGTATACACCTTTTCCGTCTAACCTCGACCCAGCGCGTAACGTGCGTAGCCTCGACTCGGCGCACAGCGGGAATAGTTCTTCCGGTTCTAACACTTCCGGTATGCGGGAGCAGGCCTAGCCGGCTGGCAAGATGCTGAAGTGGTGCGCGTTAAATGGGTTTTGAAGCCCTTGACAGCGAAGTGAGTTGAAATAAGGTGGGTTAATACGTCGATGTATCATGTCCGTGCATATTTTGTCATCGGGCTGCCACTGCACAGTCGTTGGCTGCAGCAGCAGTTTCCGAAAACGGAAGATAGCGCACGACAAATTGTGCACCGAACACAAGAAGTCGCAAAGCGAATGCGGCTGTAACGTATACACTTTGCATCGCTTCCCCGCTGATATCAGCGGGGAAACGATACAATATCAGCACATAAAAAAAGCAAATAGCCAGTATAGAAACGGACATCTACAAGTGCAGTAATAGGCCTCGACAAGTCAGATGTAGAACGAATTTTGCAGCTTGTGGTGCAAATGTAAGACCCTGAGTATAATGATTGTTATTGGCTACTCAAGTTTTGTTTTTCATTCCGTTCTTTCCTACGAGGATGTGCACTATAATTTTGTGTGTTGCTCGGTAGCTACGCCTGTTAAAATACGTTGATGAAAACAATACGAAAAGAGGGCGCAAAATCGTTGTGGTCGTCGTTCCCCCCGCTTCCCCACCCCCCCCCTTTCACCCCCATCTCCTGAATAGTTCCGACGCATCTGAGCGTCATACGAAGACAGATGTCCCGGTAACTAGCGATCGTACCTTGACGGTGCACCATAACAATAAACCGTTCGGCCCGCGTCGCCAACTCCCATTGTGAGTATTTCTACGATTAAACGATGATACTTCTATGCCCAGGGTCGCCCTCGCTCGCGCATAGAAACTTTCCGTTAGTCATTCGCAGAAGGCTGTCATTCTTCACAAACAACAACACGCGAAGAGTAAACACTGGTAAACGTCCTCAGGAAAAGTGAACATGCCTCCGATTTTGATTACCGGCGACGCTGGCGACGAACCTCTCGGCGCTGTTGGCGCAACAACGGGAGCCATGAAGGCGAATAAACACGCCAGAACACAAGAATAATTCAGACTTTCAATAATAAACAAAGTAAGAACTCACTAAAGGGAAAACAATGAAGATACGACGCACGGGGTCAATGGGGACAACGCCGGAGCTAGGAACAACGCTGCTCTCCGCATACCAAAATGGGTGCGCAACAACCGTACGCCAGACGGCGTGGCTGTCGCTGCAACACACAAGATGGTGACGACTACGCGGAAAAGGTGTATACTGGCCCGAGGAAAGTATCGCGCCAAAACGCTCAGAGAGAAAGTGGAGATTTTGCGTGAAATAGACGCAGGAAAAGCGAGCAAGGTCGAGATTGCCAAGAAGCATGAGATCCCGAGGAGTACGTTGTCAACATACATCCGCAACAGGAAAACAATCGAGGACGCCTATGAAGCTGAAGTTTTTGCCCATGACGGAAAAAGACTTCGCTCTGCCAAACACCCGGATTTGGAGAAGGCGCTCATCACGTGGGTTAAAGAGATGAGAAGCCACGATCTTCCTCTCAGCGGCCCGATCATCATGGTGAAGGCAGCCGAGTTCGCATTACATTTGAAACACCACGACTTCGCCGCGTCTGAGGGATTGTTCCATCGCTTCCGTCAGAGGCACAACCTCGTCTTCCGTATCATGTCTGGTGAAGGCAAAGACGTGAGCATGGAAACTTGCGCAATGTGGCGAAATGGATCCCTGCAGGGCTACCTGGAGAGCTACATGTCGCGGGACATCTTCAACGTGGATGAGACCGCTCTATTTTTTAGACTCTTGCCGGACAAAACGATCACGTACAAAGGAGACAACTGCGCAGGAGGGAAGCGAAGTAAAGAGCGTGTCACCGTCTTGGTCGCGGTTAACATGACTGGAACGGAGAAGCTTCCCCTGCTCGTAATAGGATAGTCGATGAAGCCTCGGTGTTTCAAGAAGATTCGCACACTGCCAACGGACTATGAAGCCAACAGAAAGGCGTGGATGCCTGGCGAGTTGTTTAAGAAGTGGCTTAAGAAGCTCGACAGAAAGTTCGAATTGAGCAACCGACAGGTTCTGCTTATCGTAGACAAGTGCTCGGCGCACAAGGTCGACGTGGAGCTGAAGGCAATTAAACTCGTGTTTCTTCCACCAAACACGACTGCAGCACTCCAGCCAATGGACCAGGCTGTGATCAAAAACATCAAGTCTTCCTACAAACGTCACATGCTGGAACGAATGGTTCTTTGCGCGGCCAAAGGGAACCAGATTTATAACGTGACGCTCCTCAGTGTCACCGCCGCAACAATTGCGAACTGTTTCCGTCACTGTGGTTTTAGTGTCTTGGGTACGGAGGCGGCTGGTGGCGACATTGGAGAATGTGATGTTGTTTTTGAGGGCATGCGTGATCTGCTGCAGGACGTGAGTTTTGCCGATTACGTCGATGCTGACAGTAGCGCGGTGATCTGTGGCGCTATGACAGACGAAGACATCATCGCTCAAGTAGTTGGTGAACCCGTCGCAGAAGCGGAGAACGACGTCGCTGACGAGGAGGAAGAAGTGGGGGTGGAAGAAACTCCGATTCGGCCATCCGCACCGGAGGTCATTGATGCATTGAACGTGGCACGTCTTTTGTTCAGCTTTAAAGGGGGCGAAGAAGATGCCTTGTGCTTAGTGCGTCCCTTGAAAATAAGCTAATGACCATAACTTTCCAAGAAAAGAAGCAGATGATGATCACTGATTACTTTGGATAATAAAGATCTGCCGTTCCGAGCGTTTCCTGTGCAGAAACGGCCTTTTTTTTTCGTTTTTAGTTAGTTCAAATTTTGTTTAATTTGAATTCTTTTTGCATCCCCGTGCAATTCAAATTAACGAGCTTTTACTGTATTTCTTCTTCTTCCACAGCCCAGTTTCGGTTTTGAGCAGTTGCATTTTTTTCTTTATTAAAAATATATGTGATGCTGTAGAACAATATTGATTGGGTAGTCTTCTGACGCCATAATGGATCGCGTAACAAAATGTGAAAAGTAGGTTTTGGGGGTGTCAGTGTTCCTTTAAGGTTAATTTTTTTTTTTTCAATGAAAAGAACTCTAGCCAAAAGTTTAGTTTTTAATGACATGGCGAATATTGGGTCAACAAAATTAATCTGGGCAACGTTTCTCGTAACGTCATCTCTCGGTAGACCTCCCCTCCTTTCACCGCCAACGAAATGCCTATGCCCCACCCCCCCCCCCAAGCCTAACCCTTAAATGTGCCCCTCCCTCGATGACGTAGTGAAAGTGTTGAAGCAGTAGTATTGGACGTGTCGGACGCCTGTTCCGCTGCAGATCGCTCTCTGGGTTGATGGTACCCGGCGTTCGGGGAGGCGCGGCATATTCGGCACAGAATGTCGGAGGCCACGGCTAGCTGACGTAATTCTTGAACATAGTTCATCACATGTGGGATCGAGGTATTCACCTTTCTTCTTGGCCGTCGGCAGGCGGATCCCCGCACCCCAGGTGGCATCTCCGGGGGCCGCCCCGCAACAGCAGCAGCCCCCTCCTCCCGTGGCTGCCTCCCCGTCGGTTCCCCCAGTCTCCCCTCCCGTGGCCCCCATCTCCCCCATCAACGTGAGCGGCCTGCCACCCCCGCTGCCCCCTGCCGCCGGCCCTCCATCTGTGGCCAGCAACAACCACCGGAACAGCCTCTTGTGAGTGTCCTGCCACCGCTATTACGCCACTGTAGATGTTTTACCGGATCATCTCTTGCACTCTATTCTCTTAGGAAGAGAGTGCAGTGTAGGTCAGGAGACGGGAAGCGTGCGTTTAGTGGCGGTTAACTATGCCGCACTCGGACAGTTCTTTGTTGTGCACGCTTGTGTTTTTAATTGTTTGTTTGTTTGAATTAAGTAAAGCTCATTAAGCTAAGTACTTACATGCAGCGCTGTGTTGGGCGGCGCATGTGCACTGGGGTAACACATGAGTGACGAGTTCCAAGACATTTATCATTATTATCACATTTGCCAAATAAAGTGTTGATTTCTTTTTCAATGTATCTGTGCAGTTATTCTTTGAGTGATCACAAATATTTTAAGCTACAAGGATCATGTGATTCGGTGTTTGTTAGTGTTTATGTTAATTCACCGAAAGAAGCCGATAAACTTTTTGGGGTATAAATATACACCGAAAAAAAAACCGAAAATTGAATTTTAAAATAAATACCAAAAAAAGTATGCCGAATTTCGAAATAATAGAAACCGAAAACGCGGAACCCTACCTATAGGCGAGTAGGCAGCTGCCTAGGGCGGAAAAATTTTGGCAAAGGCCAATTTGTGGCCAATCCCAAATTAATTGGGTGTTTTTTTTTAATCTAGGTCTGAACTTAGCTACTTTGGAAATCCTAGCTCCAAACCTAGCTACCTTTAAAAATTGTGTAACTCAAAACATAGATACTTCCCCCCCCCCCCAGGGTTACGGAACTATTAAAGGCTGCCTAGGGTACCAAATGCCAAGTCTGTTTTTGTGCGTATGTAAAAGTTCCTGTTGGGCTAGTTGGTGGTGAACATTTTGAACCATGGCTAAAGGCGGTAAAAGGATGAACACAAGAGAGAAGACAAACACGGGCGTCCGTGTTTGTCCTCCCTTCTGCGTTCGTCTTTTTAGCGCTTTTAACCATGGTTCAAAACCTTCATGCGCATGCCGCTAATGCTTGAGGCTCGTCGGTGTCTGCCGTTTCCGTCTGTTGCTTTGGCGGGACTCGGGTGTGACAGGCTACCTCAATAGCCTAACGTGCCAAACAGACGCAACGGACTCAAACGGACCGAAACAAGTTGGCACAAACGCACTGTGCATTCTGGGTGAGTCGGCTTCTGGCGACCTCGTCCTCCAACCGGTGCCCTTCCCGGGTCGCTCGCAGCGGGGCCCCGTCCCCGGCGGCGCCCCCACCGCCACCGTCGGGAGGCCTGATCGTGGAGCGGCCCCCCTCGCCCCCCGAGCTGTCCTGCCTGCCCAAATACAAGCGGGACCTCGTCCAGAAGCTCTCTGCCCTGCGCCAGGAGCTGCAGACCGTGCAGCCGCAGTCGGGCCACTGCCGGCTGGAGGTCTCCCGGGAGGACATCTTTGAGGTGGGTCCACGCATGGGGTGCAGCCTGTAAAACGCCGCCATGTTTTTCGGCCTGCTGGAATCGACTACGTGTCACAGAAAGCTGCAGATACGCGCGAGTGTTACGTTGGTGGTGGCGATGTAGTGCGGAAAATTTGGGAGCGTGAAATTACCTGGATCAAAAGATAGAAGACAGAAACTAAATTTCTTCGAGCCGGCGTCCACAGTTGGATGTCTTTTAGGAGGGCACTTTGGAGGTGGGTTAATACGAAGTGCTGGAGGGAAAACTATGCTGCGTATTTCGTCCCACGTAGACGAACTACGTGTTGCCGCAGGCCGGGAATTGACGCGAAAATGATGCCATGGGTGGTGATAATAGGATGGGGAAGTTTGAGAGTGTGACATTACCCGGACCGAGAGATGAAAAAGAAGAACGAAATTTCTCTTTGAGCCGATGTCCCCTGCTAAAGGTCTCGTAGGAAGACATCTTCGAGGTGGGTCGATGTACTGGGGTGTGAGAGAGAAAACGACACCGTGTCCAGCTGGAGGCCACATGTTTGAGGTGGCCCAGTGTACTGCGTGCCCCCTAAGAAAAGTGTATGGTGCCTTTTTACTAAAAAAAATTAACTGCATCGTCGAACGTAGCACTAGCGGTAGGACCAGATGCTGAGGTTTAAGAACTAGCTGTTATCTTGTTAAAAAGTTATAAGTAATTTTCTGAAACCTTCGATGGGAAATTAGGGCCCATTTCTGGTGGCTGACGCCATTCATCTCCATGCATTTCTGGGTGACATCGGCTGCCCATTTCTTATAGAAAATTTCCGAAAATTGCTTAAAACTTTTGAATGCGATAACAGCAAGCCCTGAATATTTGGCATCTAGTTTGGGCGACCAGTGCTGTTTTTGGGTGGTGACTGAGCATTCAGCAACACATAATCCACTTTTGCAGTCTTTGTTTGGAGTGCTTGGCACATTGCGTCCAGCAATGGAAGTTTCCGAAAAAAAAAATTGTAAGTTGGTGTGATTGGGAGGTCGGTTGTGGGGGGGGTTTGTTGATGCTGTGAGAGACGGGAGGATGGCAGACTGTGATGTTGGGCCCATTGGGCGTTCCCGCTACGGCATTAGAAATGGAGGCCTCGTTGCAGGAGTCGTACCGTCTCATCATGAAGATGCGCCCCAAGGACCTGAAGAAGCGGCTCATGGTCAAGTTCAGGGGAGAGGAAGGCCTCGACTACGGGGGAGTGGCCAGGTGGGGCTCTTAATTACCCGATCAATTAATCATTCATTGCGTTGGTTACTTGTCATCCAACTGACTCGCTTCAGGGTGTCTTTTCGAGGCTTCACGGATTTCTCCAAAAACAGCCATGAAAGCTACACTAACACAGTCTACGTAGGTGAGTTATAAGAGTAGGGGGACATAATAGCGGGGGCTAATCGTATGGTTCCAATTTGAACTTGCTGAGCTTTATCGAAAACCATTAAATTGATAAATTTTAGAGAGACTTGGAGTGCATGGGAAGCGTGGTAGCGTTCTAAAGTTGCCACTATTGCTACAGACGCAAGGCTGGTGGTGCAAAAACGTGCGTGGTAAGAGGTGAAAAACCTGCACGAGCGCACCGAAGTTTGATGCGTTTTTGAGATCAGATAATTGATGCGATCCTCAGCAAGTTTCAGATTGAGGCCATACGTTTATTTTCACTAGTTAAAAAGTTAATTGACACATTTTAATTAATTATTCTATGTATCGTGACAGTTAGCCCCCTGTGCTATGTCCTACTGACTGTATATTTCTCCTGCACAGATTGCTGTGCTGTAGCTTTCACAACCTGTTTAAAAAAAAGTTATTCCGAAATAATTTAAACCTCACATCCCAAGCATAGATGGCGTGTCCAGTATCTTTTCAACTCGTCCGCGGGTTCTCGCAAAAGGGTAGACGCATCCGGCGGCTTTCTGCACGGCTCCTTGTCCGAACCCACGTCCATAGGTGGGTTCGCCAAATTATCCTATTGGCCGACTCCCGATGTCGGCAGCTCACCTCTGTTCTTCAGCCTGTTTCTAGGGAAAAGCTTTCCCGAAAGCGTGAAGGAAGGGATTCCAGTCCCGGTATTCTTGACTTTTCGTCCCAAGAGCTCGACTGTTGTCCCTAGATGAAAGTTTTCCCCGTATTGTGAAAGAGGGATTCCAGCCCCGGTATTCTTGAATGTTTGTCTCTAGCGCTTGACTGTTTGTCCCACGGGGAAAGGTTTCCTTGTACCGTAAAGATCCTGGTATTCTTGACTGCGGCACGGTGCCTGAAAAACGTCTTTAACCGGTGCATTTAGCGTCTCATCGCGCCCATACTTCGAAAGTGGCCCCAAACAAACGACGTCCCGGGAGTCGGCACGTCGCGCCGTCGGTCGTTGAGACCCCGACGGTTGGCGTTAAAAGTCCCAGCAAAAAGCGCCAGCGAAAGCGAGCGTCGCTGTTGTTGCGGCGTCCCGACCCTTGGCTTCTTTCCCCCAGGGAGTGGCTGTACCTGCTGTCTCACGAGATGCTCAACCCGTACTACGGCCTGTTCCAGTACACCAGGGACGACATCTACACCCTGCAGATCAACCCGGACTCCTCGGTGAACCCGGTACGCACTCCGGTTGCACCTTTTAGGCGCCAGAGACATGCCCGTCTGCCGTAGAAGCGGTCAATTGAGATTTTAAAGACGAAAAAAAGTATGGCAGATCGCTAGGCAATTGTGTACATGGAACGTTCTGACATCACAAACGTTTATGTCGTCGTTTAGTGGCACGTCTAGCCCGTTGAGCCGGACGCCTGCGTTCGCAGTGCACTTCGTCGGAAAATTTAACGCATGGCATCTGTATGCTTGAAATGATAAACCTAGTGATCTTCCAGAACATTCTAACCCTCGTCTATTTCTCGTCACTCCGATCCTGGTCAATTGAGCTCCCTGTTAACCAGTAGGCGTCGAGCACCTTGCTTTTGCTCTTCATCTTGTTGACCAATCGGTGTCGAGCCTCGCGGCTACGCAGCTTAGCGAAACCAGCGGGCGAGATCCGTCTGTCGCATCAATGCCGAGGCAGAGAGGGGTTCCTCGGCCATTGGTCGAGGCAGACGGACGTTTTAGGTGCTGAAACGTTTGATAACTCACGGTTGAGGGAATTCACCGCGGAATCGCTCCCGTGCTGGGGAACTCACCTTACGGGCTAGGGAGTGAGCCTCTTTTGAAAAATCGGTCTCTTATCCCGCGCAGAGCCAAACCCGACCCCCCAATAGCGGCATTGCACGGCTTCTCTCCGGAGAAAGAGAATGTCTTTGAAAGCGTAGGGCAGAAAGCGAGGAATCGATTTGAACGCTTCGGTTCTTGTACGTTGCCTTCGATTCACGAAGTCGAGAGTCCTTGATTTAGTTGATCATGTTCTCCTGTCACCTCTATTAGTGCAGAAAAATTTGAGCTTTTGAGACTGGCACTCGAGGGCTCTTATTTTTGAGAAGAGTCTATTTGCCAGGAAGTTTCTTGGAGGGAATTAAAGAGGAAATCATTCGGAGAATTCCCTAGCTCACTATCAGCTGTTTACAACTTTTCCAAACCTTGTTACTTTTTTTCCGCATTCTGCACGAACTAAACCGTGTTGCAGGTTAAGAAAATTGCGACAAGCTCCTCCCATAAAGCCTTCTGCTCACTTTGGCAGAGTCAATGTTGGATGGGAGGTGAGAGGAGAGGTGGGTCCACTTGCCTCTCTTTCGTTTGCTCGCTGGAGTGGAAAAGTGGAGGGCTTTGCGGGAGGGGCTCGTCACGCGACTGTGCAGTGTGGGGAAGGATTGTTCCCCACGGCCGTCTGTCTCTCTCTCGGCCTCAGGAGCACCTGTCGTACTTCCACTTTGTGGGGCGGGTGATTGGGCTGGCGGTGTTCCATGGCCACTACATCGACGGGGGCTTCACGCTGCCCTTCTACAAGATGCTTCTGGGCAAGCCCATCCACCTGGACGACATTGAGCTGGTCGATCCGGACCTGCACCGCAGCCTTACCTGGATGCTGTGCGTTCCCACCCGTCTAGCTTGAATCCAAGCCAATCCTCGGCCGTAACTATGGTGCCTCAAACCGACCTGCGTTTTTGTCTGCGTCCCTAAAAAGTGGTCGCTCAATTTCTGCCCAACAACGTCGTAGCTTCCGGGTTTCCGCTCGATGCTCTAATATACTATTATAATATAACATCATTATTAAAAAAAATTATTGCCGTAACATCCTGTAAGAACGTACACCAAGAATGAAGAGATAAACAGTGAAAAACATGTGGTGGGCTGACTTTGGGGATGTGACAGTGAAACATTATCAAAAATTAATTATAAGTATCGGGGCAACCGTCGCAAACCATGTGACGTGGGAACTGATGCTGCTAATCGCGGACACAACGAATTCACCTTTCTCGGTGCGAAGAACCCGCAGAAACCCGCCGAGAACTCGCATCTCACGGGAACAAACACGGTGGACGCAGCAGATACAAGTTTCGCGGTGCAATAAACACGCGGGAACCTGCGCCAAACTTGCCTGTGACAGGAATCGATGTCGCGTGCGCAGATCAAGGACGCAGCAGAATTCATATCACCATGCAATATACATGCGGGAACAACTTGCGTGTTATGGGAACCAATGTCACGCACGCAAATCGCAGACAAACTTTTGAAGAACCTGCAGAAGCTCCCATGTCATGAAAACGGATACTGCAAATCACAGGAAAAACTCTTGTTATGGGAATTGATATAGTAGCACGCGCAGATCACGGACAAAATGTGAGAATCCGCTACGAACTCGCATGTCACGGGAACGGATACTGCAGGTCGCTGACACAGCAGAATTGCATATCATGATGCAACATACACGTGAGAACAACTCGCGTGTTAAGGGAATCAATATGTCGCATGCAGGTCTCGGACAAAAACTCAAGAATCTGCTACGAACTCGCATGTCATGCAAACGGATACCGCATATCGCAGACGCAGTAGATTCTAATGTTACGAATATTTAGACAGAAGAAACGGAATGGGCGATCTCTCGGGAGGTGATGTCCTTTCGGAATTTTACAGTAGGTCCTTTTCGGCGTCACCCTTTAATATCAAGTGACAAAATTTTTTTTTTCTTTGGGGCTTACGTTGAAGAATATGGGAGACGGGCATGGGATTCCCCTTCAAGGAACCTTCGCACAACCCGAATACTTCTAAAATGTTCCCGTGCCGATAAGAGAAGTAAACGAGGTAAGGAGCATGGCTCCGAAGAAAATAGGGGCAAAGTTTCGAGTCGACGCAGAATAGAGCTTTAGGTAAAAATTCCCTTCCCCTGAATCATTTTTTCTTTCTTCTTCCAAGGCGGCTCCAATTTGGGTTTTTCTTTGGTTATCTCCCATTTTTGTGAAGACACAGGGAGACCCAGTTATAATCGTCAAGGGTTAACTCTAAGTGGTGTTTACGGAAGCTATGCAAATGGTCACGCTGCCCCCTTCAAAGCTCCAGAATACGATGCAGTGTTGCTTTCGACGTGCATCCACGACGGAAGGTTTGAGGCAGTGGGCGTGCTTGCAGGAACAACGACATAGGGGACGGCATCGACACAACCTTTTCGGTGGAGCACAATGCGTTTGGGCAGCTCCAGGTGCACGAGCTGAAGCCCAACGGCCGGGAGCTTCCGGTCACGGACGACAACAAGAAGGAGTATGTCAGGTGTGGGCCCTTTTCAACCTTTCCCTCCCACAAAGAGCACAGAGTATGTTGTGAACAAGGTGGGCACCTGCCCACATCATTCCACGCTTGTGTGACGCGTACCACGCATGTGCGACGCATCGCACGACGTCGCAGGCTCCCGTGAACGTGTACGACTTCGTGGTGCGACTTGTCGTGGTGTTGTGCGACCTCACGATGCCCTGAGTGACGTTTTGTAGTGTCGTCAAACTATGATCGGTGTCAGTGTTAAAAAGTACCTTAAGTACATTGTACTTACAGTACTACTTGAAACAAGTTTAGAAAACATGTACTTTACTTGAAGTACATTGTCCGAGTAGTACAGTATAGACCACTTACAACGTAACCGCTTATAGTGCAGGACCGGGTATAACGCGGTTTTTTTAAACCACCGGTTCGCCTCCCATAGAACTCCATGTATTTACATACCGCTTAAAATGCAGGCGCGCGAAGGGAAATACCGGCTATAGTGCGGTTTTTGGCACAGCCCGCCGACCGCGCCGACGACCGGAGCAGCGGGCACGCTTCCCTGTGCGACACTAGATAACGGCGCTGACGGCGCGGGGCGAGGATGTTGCTCGAAGAAGTGGGGAGAAGCGAAGAGAGAGGCTTCAGTCGCCGTAGCGACAGAGGGACGCACGACACGTGCGTGCGTCCCTCCGCTGTGTTGGAAACAAAGAAACAAACAACCGCACCGACAGACCAATCGCAGATCGAGGAGAAGTGTTCGCGCGCGTTGCGTGCCGGTCGCGGGCCGGCTGCTTCTCCGCAAACATGGTGTCGGTTCTGATCGTCGTCGTAGACGGAGTTCATCTCATCGTTCTGCGTAAAAGCGCTATCCTTGACTGTGAATTTTCGTTGTGTGTCGCTATGATAACCCAGCACGTACCAGAAGGGAAGATTCACCTACTCGTGCGGCGATGTCGTGGCGGCGCTCTCGAGACGGCAGAAACGCCCGTGTCGTCGTGTTTGTTTACTTCGACTACAGTACATCGCCCGGATTTCTTATTTGGCGCATTTCATGCGTGTGCTCAAGTTCAAGGTATTACTGGCGCGTACCGTATGAAGGATGCGAATTTTCACGCGTTTTCATCTCCGGAGAAAAGTGATTAGGGTTAGCAATCCTGAACGCTCGCAACGTCCGTCCGCAACCCGCGACGCCGTTAAAAGGCTGCGCCAGGCAAAAGCCGCTAATTTCTTTCAAAATGTGTGACACACTTGAGACAGAACTGTACTAGTCTGGTGAAATAAAGACTTTCCTCAGACTAAGCTTTATTTTTCATCTAACATAAAATAAATTCTTTTACAAAGGTAAGTTGTCTCATGGCATGTATTTTGGCCTGAAAAATAGATGTTTTGGTTATAACGCGGTACCGCTTATAGTGCGGATTTTCGCGACTCCCGCGACATACGTTATATGCGGTCTACACTGTACTGAGTATTTTTTGCTGGTACTCTCCGAGGAAAGTACAACTCCCAACTTAAAGTACATTCCCCAAATTTGGTCTTGTTAAATGTGTGTACCAAAATTATGCTTTGTAAACCCTGAAGAAATAATAAAAAGAATATTTTACTTTCATAAAAAAAGAAAAAAAAAAAACTGTAGTGGGGAAGCGTATCGACGCATGTCGATACGCTTCCCGAGCAGCGTTCCAGGCGAGCCAAATAAAATATTTGGCTCGCCTGGAACGCTGCTCAAAACTTGAGAGCTACGGGCCTAGTGTACTGGCGTGCGGTCATGTACCACTACTGCGCGGTGCAGGTTAAAGACCCCAAGCTAGCGGTTGTACTGCACTGTCTAAATTTTTCATCTACAGAGAGTGACTCGTCCAACTTTGAAATGGCTGACCAACGATGTGCTTTCTAAATATCCACCCAGCCTCAATTATTATTTTGGCCCTCAGTTCAAGCGTCTTAGAAAACGCACTGGGCGCTGTTCATTACTGTAAAAATGTCCACTTTAAAATACATCTCCACGTGGTGAATGATGTTGATTAGGGCGAAGCTCTGGTGATGCTTGTCTGCGTAGACGCTGAGCAGCAGCATGCCGAGCTTTTCGTTTGTTTTATTCCATGTCATGCTGCGGTCAAATGCTCAAATGCGTATACCGTATTTGCAGGAATATAACGCGACTACGAATATAACGCGAGGGCAGGTTTTGATGCCCTCAAAAAGAAAAAAAATATTATTACTATTATAACGCGAACCGAGGCCGCGTCAATTTCTCGCAATCAGGGGGGCATAGCAGATGTGAAAAGTCAATGGAAATAGAAGAAATATCAGTTTATGTTTTGACTGCACTCATCCTCACTGCTCAGTTCCTTCTGTTTACAATCCACTTGGCAACTACGCAGATAAGCAGCAGCACGGCACCTGCTTGACTGGTAGTCCCTTTTTCTTCCGTGCGAGCTCCTCGGCAGCCCACAATCCAAACAAGGCACGAAGCAGAAGCACCAACACACAAACACCAGATCACTCTGGAGCAGAAACTAAACAATGCGCAGGCAGAAAAAAAGACTGCTGAATCGGATACACAATCACACTTCTTGTTCTGGTCCCTCTGCATAAACAAATGCCTCGTGTTGCACGATTGCGTAAACGCGGTTGGTACTCTTGGCCAGTCTTAGCTTGGCTTGTGCTGACTTGACTTGGCCCGGCTTGGCTTGGCTCGAATTGGCCAGTGCCCGCATTCCCGCACGGCGCTCGCGCCGTTTTTCCAGCGTGTGCGCGTTGTACAAACACAAAAGCGATAAAAATGCTTTTTAATGTTTTCTATTCGCCCTTTCACGTGGCCCAATAGCTAATAAATTCCCTCCCACACCCCCACTTCTTTTCCCACCGGATCTCCTGCATTGAGCCGGAGGGATGACTTTCTCCAGACTTGCGCGCCTCGTGGCTGAACTTGATTCCGAATATAACGCGAAATGCGTTTTGGAGCACGTAATTTCGAAAAAAAAACTCACGTTATATTCGTGCAAATACGGTATAACCACGTTCCACACCACACATTCTCTTTCTGACATGGATGAAAACGAACGAAAGGCTCGGCATGCTGCGGCTCAGCGTCTACGCAGACAAGCAGCACCAGAGCTTTGCCCCAATCAACATCATTCACCACGTGGAGATGCGGTTGTTTTTTTTTGGCCTACACGAGCGCGTGAGCTCACGAGCAGGAGCACGTGCACCCGACGGCGGACGGACATACGGACATGGCTAGCCCCTAAGCAGCTTCGCCCCTAAAAAAAATCATGAGCCATTCCACTGGGAAGGTGGATGACCAGCGACATTGTTTAGCACACGACAGAGACCCGCTCCGAGGTGCTGGAGCAAACTAGACACGTGCGACGGGACCGCCACCTTGGGAGAGCGGAAGGAAAGGAAACTAGGCACGCAAGCGCTTGGAAGGACAACGAAGAGAGGGCGGTGCGAGTGTAGACATGGCCGACGTGGCTCGCACAGCGGGAAATCTTTGAGAAACCTTTAACTACCTGCGAGTCTACCGATCTTGAAAATGGTGCCTATTGATAACTAATCTACTGATTAGATTCATTGCTAAATTGCCCAAGCATCAAGGAGAATGCAGGGAATGGTGTTCCACGTGCCGGCGTTTGCAGCAGTAACTGTTCTAAAGCAAAAACCTAAACAAATGGCACCTTGCATGCGCGTTTGTCAACGCCTTATTTTGGGTATTTACTTCGAATCTTTTATTTGAAGGAGGCTTGCGTGTGCGTCGGTGCCGGCGTCTGCAGCAGTAAGTGTTTTGGAGCAAAAGCTTAAAACAAAGGGCATCTTGCACATGCGTTCGTCAACACTTTATTTTTGGTTATTTACTTTGAATCTTTTATACGGGAAAGGCAGGCACGTGCGGCGGTGCGAGCATAGAGTTTCTAGTCACAGCACATGAATAATCCTCGGAACCCTAGCCATAAACAGCTTCGCTGTAAATCACGAGCAGACATTGCATCACTCTGTCTGTGCTGGGGGCAGCTCTCCTGCAGCATTTGAAATTCTCGCTACTTCTCGCTTGGTCAGTGCGAGCGCGGAGGTTAAAAATTTTAGGAGAGGACACTCCTCCACGAGAGGATGGCTTGTGGAAGCTACGGGGCTGACATCGTTCTCTCTCCTAGTAACTTTAACCCCCTTGGGTGCAAGCGGTGCCAAATTTAGAAATCTAAGGGAGTTTGAATTTGGCCCCATTTCCAAAAATAAGAACTCCGTGGCCACTTCCTTTTGTTCAATATTCAACGCCTTTTCCTAAAAGAACTGATGCACCCCCGATTACCCCTGGAGTAACGCATACCAGTAAAAAATATATAGTACACTGTACTTATACACGCCTTGCGCCTGACGTCACGCCGTGATGCCCCACCCCCGATCGCCATTGCTCCGTACCAGAGGAGGACCGGAGAATTTACAAAGCATAGTCGACGGCGTGTTTCGTCCGACCATGACATGTTTACGCAGTTTGAGAGCGTAGCGTTTTTTTGTTTTTTTTTTTGCGTGTGTTTGTTGTTTTTTGCACAATTTGTAAACAAATCGTTTGAATCTATTTTTACCAGCGCCTACGAGCTAAATATGCCGTCGCCGGAGGAGCGGACGTTGCCGCTCTACGGAGATTACTTCGACGAGCTCGTTGGGCCTACGAGAGCGAGATACGCGAAGAAGGTGGAACTTTGCGACGGCGAAAATCCCCACAAACTCCGTGTCGGCGTGGACACGACATTCGACGCCGCCTTTTTTCCTAACGTAACTCGTTCAGCCTCGAGCGCTGCAACTCGAGGCTGAGCGATCTCCTTCGTCCATGTAACCAAGCTTCAAACTCGGTGCCCACTCAGGGTTCGTGTCATCGGACAACTTAAAAGGAGCTCCTGTAAAACAAAAAAAAAAAAACGCCATTCGCTGACGCGCTCGCGTTCGTGAAACTCGCCGCAGCAGACAACGTTGCGCCGAGTTTTACATTCAATTTTGCGACAGCAACTGGGTGAACGGGTCCCGAAAACGGAGAACGACAAGAAGCATTTCTTACCTGTAACAAAGTGCTCGCTGCACACCTGTGTGTTCACGTTCGCGACCAGGTCGGCCCTGTTAATTTTCGCAAACCACATGCTCCTTCACTTCTTTGACAGTTCGTGTGTCTGCCGACACTGAGCAGAGATCACCTTCGGTAGTTTGAAAAATCTTCGCATCACCGACGGTGTTACAATTACGACGCCTGTTGCTCTTAGTCCTGTTTGCACAATTAATAATTGCACATGCAACCATTCTACGTAGCGAAACCTTTGCTCAGCGAGGCAAACTGACGGCAACTCCAGGGAACATTCTATGCAGCTATGACGATTTGGTACGGCGTAATGGCGATGGCCCTCCCAGCATGCAATTTTAATGACGTAGGTGCAAGGCATGTATAGGAGAGTGAAAGGGCGTCATAAAAGATTGCGTTAAAAAGTACTTGTACTTTTCTTGGAGATTAGATACATTGTATTTATAGCACTTATTGTGCTTGGTGTACTAGTACTTTACTTGAAGTACACAACCTCTAATTTACTTTGTGCTTTACTTCAAATATTTTTCACATGTTCTTTACCCAATGCTGATCAGTGTCATGACACTGTGACATGTTATGACACTAAGATCATGATGTCATAGTGTCATGTGACATCATGATGCCTCAATAAGTCATGTGACATTGGGTGACATTATGACGTCGTGCAACATCGCAGTCGTGCGACTTCATATGCGGACTTGTGTTTTGCAAGCAATGCAGCAGATGCAAAATCCAATCTCGATCTTCCAGGCACGTGACGCCGTGCCAGCATCGCCACGGCCTCCTCTTGTACCGTTTCTTTTTTATTGTTTTTGAAGTTTTCGCAGGTGGCAAAGTCTTCTCAAAGTGTCTTTGAGTCCTCTCTCCTGCCCCTTCTGTGTGCTTGTTTTTGTTGTCATTTTTTTCTTTCCCAGTCGCATTGTGTGGCCGGCGGAGCTCGCAGCGGAGGTGTCTGGCAGTCGGCGAACTCTGTTCTACCTTGCATGCTTCACTTATTTTTTTTTTCCAAGGTTCATTGAGTGGGAATGCAGTTGTGCTTAAAAATTGCATTAGTAGAACTGCATCACTATTGAAGTGAAGGAGGAGACAGCCACCAGCTTGCGAGCCAAGGGTAGCCTATAAGAAATGCACGAAAGAAAGCGGTGTTGCGTGTTGTCCATTTGTGGTTTGGTTCCCTCCGCAGGCTGTTTGTGAACTACCGTTTCATGCGTGGCATTGAGCAGCAGTTCCTGGCCCTGCAGAAGGGCTTCAGTGAGCTCGTTCAGCCGCACCTGCTCAAGGCCTTCGACGAGAAGGAGCTCGAGGTACGCCGCCTTGACCTCTGCTTTGAGCGATTTTGGAAGACAAAACAAAGGTGCCGGGGATGCCTGCGCCGTTGGCAAGTTTGAGGGGTTGTTGGCAGATGTGGCCAAAAAGTAGCCAACAAAATGATTTTTGGGGTGTTGTCTCGGTGAATGGGTTTTCGGACTATGTTTGATACATGTTTAAAAGGTGAAATTTTATGCGGTGCGGACTATACGAGGGTTTACCTTTCTAGATTGGTCATTATGACGAGACTGACAGATTTTGTGAGTGACAAAGTATGTCAGTCTTAATTTATAATTGATGTATGATACAGGCTTCTGTATGAACTAACAATGCGGGCATTTGTCAAGGTTTGCAGTGCACGAGAATCGTTTGCATGCCAGGTGCGGGCTATATAAGGAGAAGTTTTTTTTAAGGTGAAACATTCTTGACTAAATGTCCGGCTTTTCGTGTAGCCCAAAAATAAAACCTGGAAAATAGCGTGGCCGTAAGGAGGCGAGGTGGGAGAGGAGGAATGGGTTAGAAGGTTCTAAAAGGTTACCAGGTTCATCTCTTCCAGCATACACAGGCCGTGCCTCGAATTATCTGGTGAAGAGCGCCGTGAACTGGGGCGTTAGGCTGAAGAGGCTAGACGTGCTGCTAAACAAACTTTGCTAGATGCTTGTGATGTTATAGTCCGTTGCAACTCAAGAAGGTAGGGAGAGAGAAAGGAAGGCCAGAGAGGAGGAAGCAGGTGGAATGCTGGAGAGTGGAGGAAGTTTCCCCCTTTCCTCTCCAACGTTCCGTCTGCTTCCTCCTCCCCAGTCTTCTTTCCCTTGCCCTACCTTCTTGAGTTACAACGGACTATAGGACGTTACATGTGCAGGACACAATTGCCTAGCAATTTGCCGTATTTCTTTTTCCACCGAACGAACTGGGTTGCAATTAAACACTAGTGTGGGAGCCAGCTTTCTCTCGCGCGCTCTCTCGTGCAAAGGAGACGCCAAGTATCGAAGTAGCGCAGAAGCCGCGCTAGCCTCGACGCCGCGGAGCTTGGGCAGTGCGCCGGAGTCTTGAATGCTGTCCCACCTCCCTTGGTGCGGCGGTTGTTGCGCAGCTGGTGATTGGAGGCCTGGGCAAGATTGACCTGGAGGACTGGCAGAAGCACACGAGGCTCAAGCACTGCACGGCCGACACCCCCGTGGTGCAGTGGTTCTGGCGCACTGTGGAGGGCTACAGCGAGGAGCGCCGGGCTCGCCTGCTCCAGTTTGTCACCGGAAGCTCCAGGGTGCCGCTGCAGGGCTTCAGGGCGCTGCAGGGTAAGTGCACTTCGAGGACCCCCTCCCCCGCAATTTGCTTTTTAGATAGATCCGGCGAACGGACTGTTTTTAGAAGTGCGCACCATCTAGCAGCGGCTTCGCCGCTTATTTGAGTTGTTGTTGCTTGGCTACGCCCGGAACCACTAAACGAGCTACGCTTAGAGTGTCGGCACTTTGTTGTGGGCGCCGCCATGTCGGTGTTTAGTAGAGAGCAGACGCAACCGCCGATCCCGACGATTCGAAGGTGCAACTTCCTCAGCATTGGATACGGCGGCGGGAAGCTCGCATGATATTGTTTTGCTTTTGTTGCAAACTGTTTACATGTACGTGGGGCACGGAGAAGCATTTCCTGCGATTTCATATGAAGCTTCGGATAACTAGCAACCACGATTTTGAGCCCCAAAATGGGCAAGTGTCGTCACTCCGAAGTGTAGCTTATTTTGTGGTGCTAGGTGCGCCCTCGAAGCGAGCGTAGGACGCGACGGCTGCGTCGGCGTTTGGTGCGAGCTGTGCTCGGGTCGCATCAAGAACGTATACTGCATCGGTATTTGGTGTAGACTCAAATGGCGACTGTCGTTGTTGCTCAACGCGGTTTTGGAAAGGGTCTACGGGGGGGCGGGACGAAGTGGGACTGGCGGCGCCGCGGCTTAGGGAGGTGCTTACGAAGTCGCCAGTTTCGGCGTCCCGCCGGCTCTCGGAAGCGTTTGAATACGGAGCCACCATTTTGGAGCGACCGGGCTTCTGAAAGCGTCCACGACTTCGCCCACTTCATTGGTCCTTCGAGCTTCGAGCCTCGGGGTCCCGTGGATTCTAGAAAATACTTGTTTGCAAAAGCTCTGGGGAAGCCTTTGAAAAGTGAACGGCGCCGATTGTTGGGTGGTTTGGTGCTGAATTTGAGAACACCGGGTGGCGCTCAATGGTGTCTACTTCTGCTTTTGTATCTGTCTTTGTGCACCTCTGTGCGTCCTCCAAAAACTCGTTAATTTCAATAGCAGCCGTTGGCTGCAATGTTCGGAGCTCAGAAAACTTTGATTGTGCACACGAGCGCCGTCGATTTTGATGCTCAAATGTTTTGTCTGTGTCACGTCAAATTATTTAAGCTAGGATTGCGCGAATATTTGAAATTTTGGATATTTGTTTCGAATAATGCACTATTCGAAACTCGCTTCAAGATAAACTGTGGTATTTGTGCTTTTTCAAAGTGTTGACCACGGTGGGCCAGCCCCGTTGAGCACAGTGCACCGAGCACCGGTGCGCTGTGGAGAATCATGGCTGTTGCTTTCTGCAGTGCACCGATGCTAAATAAGAATTGCGCTCAACGGGGCTGACATGCTGCAATTCTCACTTCGAAAAGTACTAATATTGCAGTCTCATGCTTAGGAGGAAAGCACACTTTCAATGCGGGATGGTCCACTTGTGTGCCTCGTTTATTTAAAAAGAAAGTGAACTTACTGATTTTATCGTAAAGTGCCCGCTTTTTAGCGCTTTCTTACGGTTATAGCATTGACAACAATGTTTGTACAATTTTTCTGATCCCGTGTAAAAAAAGAAAAAGGAAAATAGTAGATGTTTTTGCTCGAGCTGCATCACGCCAGTTTGCAATTTGGTGTTGGCAACACTGCTACATTAGCTTGTATACTAGGGGGTGCAAGCTACTGCTCGTTAAAAGAGGTATAGCTGCTAACATATCCATCCATTCAAATCCAAAGTAACTTTGTTTAGGCAATCTCCTTTGTTGTGGCAACCTTGTTTGTGGCGCACGTCGGGTGTCGTGTTACCGGAACTTTTGCGCATGATCCCTCGAAAGCACTTTTACTACACGATGTTGGGGAAAAATTACTTTTAAGTGTTTATTCCCAGCTTTTCGATTGACTTTTCATTTATCAAGATGTCGTGCAAGGGCGAAAGGTTTGCATTGTGTAGTCTGTGCCACTGCGATGTCAACATTTCGCACGCTGGTCGCCGGGACATTCCGTGTCGTCTCGGTACAAAAAAGCACCAGGACTCTGCGAGAAGCTTGGAGGTTATTTCAGCCGATCAACGGATCCCGACACTACCTTAGCAGAATGCCTTTTTGCGGCATTTTCGATTGAACACAATGTGCCGTTCACAGTGGCTGGTCATGCCGGAGACCAGTTTCGGAAAATGTTTGTGGGCTCAAAGAGAGCTACTAACTATGCCTGTGCTCGAACCAAGACAGCTGCGATAGTGAAGGGAATGGATGAAAAAGAGATTGGCTATGTTTTGGTGCGTGCCGTTCTTGGTCGTATTACTTGACACAATTGTGGTGTTTTATTGGCGTCCCCTGTAGTATTTTTAGCATAGTAGGGTTGGCAGGTCTACTATTGTACAATTTTCAAATTTAGACTCTAGCTATTAAAGGGCAACTCCGCTCAATTCCGAAGATTTCGGGATAATGATTGATTTCGAATTAAAAAGCCCTAGTAAAACACACTACATTGTTTGCTTAGCGAAAAATGGGATATATATTTTTAAATCTAATTTTAAACACGAGTGGAAATCGAAACCGAAACTTCGGCTCCGCCCGGCAACATTGGCCTCGGGTCGCCAAGTGCATGGCAGGCGCGAGTGTCGTCTGCACCGCACTCTTCGCCACGTTTTGGTGTTTACGGCATTCGACGACGTCTGCACAACTGCGGCATTAGTCTGCGCACGTGGTGTCTGTAGTGTGGACGAAACTCCTAGAGACAATAATCACAATCGGTGAGACGACGATGGCGGTTGTGACGCGGAAGACGGCGGTAACGGCGGGACCACGGTGGGCGGCCGGACGGCTCCCAAGAAACGCGCTGCGCAGGCGCGTTGCACCAATCACGTGGACACCGCTGAGCACCGAGAGGCAACGTTGCTGGGGTCATGCGCTACGCTCGCCCAGAGAAGTGAAAACAAGCAAAAGGGGGCCATGATAATGACGTTTAGCTCAATGTTGGCTCCGCCCATGCCGTAGCCTTGACTGCGCTGTTGGTTGCACCTGAATTCGCCCGCTCAAGTCAGCCGATTTTGGCAACTTGGCGAGTTGCAAAGTTTGCCGGACCGTTTAAGAAACATTTAGACAGAACTGCGTCGTAAGATTTCACGTGTGGTCTTCCTAGGCGATACTGAAGAGGACTGCATTGTTTTTTCAAAACCAAAAATGAAGCGGAGTTGCCCTTTAAGCGAGAGGATATGTTAGGCAGAGATGTCAGGACAACCTGCATTCACAATTAATCTTTCCTTTTTTTTCTCAAATTAAACGATTTAAGAAAGGATATTTGCATATACAGTCGAACCACAATATAACGAACTTCAATGTAACGAAATCCTCGATTTAACGAAGTATTTTATTTTTTATAATTTCTTGCCCATAGACCCCATGTATTTTTAGTCCCTATATAACGAAGTCTATTTTGCTGCTATTTCAATATAACGAAGCGCCATTGCCATAGAAGGCAATAAATAAATCAACTCTAAAAAACAACTTCGCAAAAAAATTGTGGTTAAAAAAAAAAAAATTATGCGCAAACGCGAGCGCTTGATAGGTTACTTCACGGGGACAGGCCTTCCAACGTTCCTAGGCTGCCCGAGGATGCGGCGCTGGTAGCGCCGGCGAGGCATGCGGCAAAGCGGATTCCGTGAGGCTGGCCAGAAAATGCCGAGCAAAAAGTTAACACGGCATAACAGCATCACCACTGACATTCACTGATCACCATAGTCCACTCCACTGTACCGCGGGAGCCAACTTCAGCGGGGGAGCGACGTGATGGCGCGACCACGCGGGCAGTGCCATCTAGGAGAAGACCGAAAGGACCGATTATCGTCTTGCGAGCGTGATGTAAAGCAAAGGTGCAAGCACACTGTGGGCGCAAGGGGGCAAGTAAACTGTGCGGTCAAGAGTGCTGTGTAGGTTGGAAACATTGGCACCGCCTAAACTAAACAGCTTTATTTTTTAACCGAGTGGTTCACTCACGTGCTTGCTGCCATAAGGAAACGTAAAGTTCTTTCTTTGGATGAGAAAGCAAACGTTCTGGACGCCATCCTGAAGAAACTGCCGAGATCACGAGCACTCGGGAAGTGCTCGACGCAATGGACGTACTGAGGAAGTACACGGCGTCGCATGGGCAGCAGGATGCCGTGCAAGCGCTCTGGGCGCTCGAACGCCGTATGACGCCGCTGCTACTGTCGGACAAGGCGCAAGCAAAACTCGCGGACTACTTTGCCCCTAAATAAATGTCATTTTCGGTGAGTTTTCATACCCGTAAAATGTTTCGGAATTTTTTTTTTTCGCATGCTAAAGCCAAATTTCGATTTAGCGAAATTTCAATGTAACGAAGTAAATTGCGAATTTTACGGACTTCGTTACATCGAGGTTCAACTGTAGCGAGAAAATTTATAAATACGCTCGATTAGGCATAGTTGGGCATTTCTGTTGGTTTAATTTTATGTCAAATGTGTCATTTATGCTCCCTCCCAGTGTAGGCATTAGACTTTCTGATGTTAAAGTCCATGAATATAGTTAGATTAAAATTACCTTAGCTTGGAAATGGACAAGTGGAAGCTTGGGAACAAGCTTGACAAGTTCAGCTGGGTTTTTGTTTAAGCATGGTACAGTATTGGAAGGTTCGAAGAAACTATTAGATTCTAAGGTGTTCGACAAAACCACTACTGTTCGCTTCGAATTTGCTTTAAACTTAAAGCCCACTGTTCACATATGCCTATTCAGGATTGTTTGTTGCAAAGTCATTTTCCAATAATTTGGTATCGTCCGCCACTAAAAAAAAGTAGTCCTTCCTGTCACTGTCGTGCAGAGAGGTAAACTTTAAGGCACTGTGACGTTCGAGCATATCTTCGCAATCATGAACTTTCAAATGCAGGCATGTGCGTCGACTTTAATCGACAGAACTCGACCACAGTGAATGCGTTACTTCGAGCAGCTTTGTCGTCGGTTGCGTTCTCGTGGGGGTTCCCGTTGGAACCCTGCCATGAAACTTGCCGCCGTCGCTCTCGCGCTCGTGCAACCGATCTCGAGACTGCTGCGTGTTTTCCCCAGGTTCCACGGGAGCCGCAGGTCCACGGCTCTTCACCATCCACCTGATCGACGCCAACACCGACAACCTGCCCAAGGCACATACTTGGTACGCCCTCCTCGACCGATCGTTTGAATTCGGAAGTGCGATACGGAACTCGTCGACGACTTGTTGGCGAGAATAAAATAAAACAACGTTATCTTGCCGGCTATAATCGTGACGTGCGAGTTCGTAGCGAGTTTTCCTTATTTTTTGTACACGATCTGCGCGCGCGATATCAGTTCCCATGACAAGCAAGCTTAGCGTGTTTATCGCGCCGTGAAACGTGGATTGGCTGCATCCGCAGTCTGCGGTATCCTTTCCCGTAACACGAGAGTTTGTAGTGAACTCCTGCGCTTTTATTGCATTGAGAAATGCAAATTTGTTGTGCTTGCGATCAGTGCTATTGGTTCCCATGTCACGTAGTTTGTAGCGGATACCCTTTATGTTTATAATTAATTTTTGATAGCTTCGCTGTCTCATCCCCAAAGTTAGCCCACCTCATGTTTCTCACCATTTATCTCTTGATTTCGGGGTGGGTGCCTTTACGGTATTTTACGGTATGCGAGCCAGAAGACCGGGTTTTATTTCCCCTTACGAACCCAATATTTCCACGTATGTAAAAAGCAACGGTTTGTACGGCTGCGCTGTACAACGCCGATTTGGTCGGATAAGTGGGAGTTGTCAATATGGCGCCCTCTCGTTGCAGCTTCAACCGGATCGACCTGCCGCCTTACGAAAGCCCCGACAAGCTCACGGAGAAGCTGACTCAAGCCATAGAGGAAACGTGCGGATTCGCCGTCGAGTGAAGTCGACACACCAGCCGGAAGGAAGCCAGTCACGCGCTCCTTTGTCGATCCGGCCGTCTGCTATGCAATCGTCGTTCAGCGGTCCGCGCGTCGCGACGAGCGCCCTTCTTTAATCTGAAACCCTCCTCCGAATGCCTCGATCGCGTTCACAGGCATTTATAGAACTCTCTCGAGCCTCTTGGGCCACTGAGGTCGCCCGGGGTCACCTCGGGGAAAGGTCACTGCGGGGCGGTCTTCCCCGCCACTTCGGGAGGCCGAGTTTTCCGGGTCGCGAAGCCGAGGTTCGTGCGAGCACGAGCCGACGAAGGTGCCTTTGCGCAGCCGCGGGCTCCACCGGCCCGCGAGAGTCAATTGTGATAGCGGCCAAGTCAATGCAAGTTTGCGCCCCTCTCGGGCCACTGGAACGCGGGGCGCGCGGACACACTGCCCCTATTTATTTATTCCCGGCACCATTCGCCGGTCAAGACCGGATGAGGTCTGGGGACGAACCGCGTGGTCCGTCGCGCACGACCCCACGTCGAAATGGTTATTGTTAAACGTAAAGTGTGCGCGTTACGCACGTCTGGGAAGTCGTCCGGCGACCGTTTGTTTGTGCGGTCGCCGAAACGTTCGGCGAAGGTGTTCGACAGACTGCCGCGCGCAGACGTGACGAGTACAGGTGGGCGGCGCTTGTTCCAGTGGTGCCGGGTCGTCGGCGTTTTTAAATAAAAAAATGCTCCCGTTTTCAAACGTCGTCGCGCTCAGCGCGGCATCTGCGGCGGCGGCCGCCTTTTACCCGTGTCGTCTGTTCTTCGTTTTCGCGTCAAAACCCAAGTTTTACGACAAACGCCGCGTTTTGGGGCACCACATTTTTTTTTTTCCATTGCTCCGTGCGTGCACTGTTTTGTTTGATGCTGTTGTAGCCAGATGCAACTAGTCCTCGTCTGCCGAGTGCACAGCCTGTCGACTGCCCAGTAGCCCGAACAACAACAACAACAAGGAGAAGAGACTCTCGGGTGGATTTCCTCGGCGTTTTGCGGGACGCCCCGACAGTCTTCCCAATCCGCTTTGCGCCCTCCGGAGGCTCCCAGATCTCACTCGAGCCTCCTCTCGTCGTGCCCCGCGAGAACGAAATCGAAGCGTGGCGCTGCCGCAACTCCCCCGCGGCGATGCCGCGGCACTCGAAACGCTTCCCCGACAAGTGTGTCCGGCGCGGCCTTGAAAGCGGTCCCCCGACTTCCGCCCGACGTCGGCGGACGTGGGCCAAAAGATGCCCGTTGCGCTGCGGGTTGCTCCGCAGCCGGACGGTCGACAGAAACAAAAATTTGCAGTCGTATTTTGACCTATCGATCGAGTACGTGGCGAATGCTAACTCTGGTCTCAGCCTTCCAGCCATGTCCTCCCCATGTACCATTTTCTTTTTTTGGGGGGACGGGGGGGGTTTGCTTTTATTATTGGCACGTGGCACAATTCGTTGCCGCTTTGGGACCGCTTTCGACCCACAGACATTCGGACACACCGGTTGAAGATGGGTTCGGGCCACCCTAGCGGCATGCCGGTGGGGGGGTGGTGGGCGGCGCCCCCGGCTGGTCCCAGACGACTGGAGAATCCACATTCCACGAGCGCCGTCGAAAGTCGTTCCTCCGCAAACTGTGCCTGCCATATGTTTTTTCGTCCCCACGTCAGCAACGAACGTGCGACCGGCGTTGCGACGCCCAGCCGTGCCCACGAGACGCGCATCGTCGTCGACCAGCGTCGTCATCTCACTGTACAAAGAAGAAAAGAACCGGAGTCTCCGTAGGCTCCCGTCAGTTCAATTCAGTACGGGAAACCGAGCTTTTTTTTTTTTTTTTCCTGCTTTTTTCTTACCTTCCCCCCTTTTTTTTCCCCCGGTTGTTTTGTATTTTGCATCCCCTCCCCCTTTCTCGTTTCCCCCCCCCAACATATTGTGTGGAGGAAGAGCGAATAAAGTTGTACCATAAAATGGGACGTGCCTTTGTCGTGTCCTCATTGGGATTTGTTTGGCTGAGTTGGTGAGTTGGCTCTTGCCGAACTCCGCCCCCCTCTCCCCCGATGTCCCGTCTTCTGCGTAGAGGATTCGGGTCAGCCGACTTGTAAATGAACATTTCAACATCTCTGACGGAGCAAGTGAAACAAAATTCAAAGCTTCGATTTACTGCATGTTTTTTTTTTGTTCCATTTTCTTCGGGGGACGACAGCCGTTTATTAACTTTTCTTTCTCTGATGTACAGCCGCCGACTGATTTTTCGGTCTCCACAGGTACCGCAAAAACGTCTGATTAATACACCAGTCCAAAAAATCGGCAGATTAAAAAAATAAACTTGCCTTTATTACGTCTAGGTGGGCTTAAAAAACTTTCAGCCTTTCCCCTCTGGCGAAAAAGGGAGACCAGCAAAGCTGTACTATGGTGGGAATGGGGTATTTATAAATGTAAGGATTAAGGTGTGAATGGGTAATTGGTTATTTGAACTATTAAAGATTCGGACATTAATATAACGATCGAAGTTGTCATTCATGCGCTCCTCCCGTGTGTTTCTTCTTCGTCCTCGTCTGTTTTTCGCGCTGTTTCCTACGATGAATTCCCACCAACTCGGCACGCTATCCATTCGTCTATGATAGCTGGAATGGTTGCCGCCGTCGCTCATAGATGGCGGTAGCTGTCCAGAGTTTTGTGCCACATTTGTTTGGTACCGGACGCTAAACTAAGGAAACTAACCCATAACAGCTCCGCTGTAAAAAAAACCGACAGTAGTGCCTTGCTTCAGGTTGCGCCTCTGCTTGAGTTTGGCCACTTTCTATTAGCTTGGGAATTGCTGCCTCCTTTTCTAGCATTGTGGTCGAGTACTTTCCGCACTTCTTAGCGACACTTCGCGGCGTCAGAAGAACGGATGGGGGCCACGGGGCCACACTGGCCACACCGTCCTAGCCAGCATAGTCTGAACACATTCACCGAGACGGGGCGAGAGGTGCAAGATAGTAACTGCAGAATGGCAAATGAACAAAGAAAAATGGTAACAATGATGGTAATGATGTGCAGCCAGGGGTAAAAAAAGCCGTAGCATAGCGTCGCCTAGCGGTAGTACTTTGCAGTAGTCAAGTAGCCCTGCCAATCTAAGCCAATCCATGAGCAGCCAACATAGAGTCTTAAATGGCGGCTTCTCAATGGTGTTTCCCACTGATCGCTGGTGACGATTTTGTCCCAAAAGAATCAAAGATTCAGACTTCAAGTTCTGCGAAATGTCGGTCGTGAATACGCACTCTTTCATCGGGTAGGTGACGGTTCCTCCTTTAGGTCCAAAATATTGAACAAGTCCGAATTGTTGCCGTACAAAAAATCTGTTGGCGAACGTAAATGTTTCTTGCATGATCGGAAGCGCATACATGAAGCGAATTGAATGATGGAAATTCATTACCCAAAACCAGCTGTTGTTTTTATTCCTTTTTAAACATGCAATTAATTATATCTTTTTTGGGTTTTTTTAAGCAATGAATTGTGTCCGGTTACCATTATCCGGTTACCATTATTTTTTTCTGGTTTGGGTCTGGTTCATTTTCAAGATAGTGGCGAAGATTTTGGTTCGGTTTCGGTTCGCTGGCTCTGGTGGGCTAGAGGGCAGAGTAGTGTGATCACTTCTTTTTCCCAGCAAACGGGAGCTGTACCCCCTTCGTGCTCCAGGTGTCGCTACAGTGCTGTCTCGGTAATATCCGCACCACCGTTCCCCCCAAAATCCTCGTAATGCGAGTTGTTCATAATAATGGGACAGAGATTCCTGTGTTTACCCGATCTTTCCCTGAAAGTTCTGTCTACATGGGCATCCATATTGGGGAGTTTTACAATTGGGGTCCTAATGCTTCAGGTGTCCCGCATAGCTTGGGTTATCGCTGTGCTCATCCACAGTGTGACGCCCAAAGCTGAGTGGGTGACCCAAAGCGTCGGGGCAGTTTTATGCTAAAATTGCAGAAATGAGATATGACTGTCACAGTGATGTGATTGCTGAGCCATTTGTGCCAATCTTTGCCGATGTGCTTGCCCTGCTACATTTCACCAAAATGCGAGGAATTTGCACCAATGTTGCACCAAAACTTTATTTTGCCTTAATTGAGCTTGGGCTTCAGTGCCTGGTCGGAATGTTACGATAGCCTTATGCGAGTTTTCGGAACTTTTGATTAACGTGTCGACATACTATTTGATCGCATTTCGTACGAAAGACTGACTGTACTCGGACGCTTTGCAAGATCGATTGATTGAAATCGTGTCTTTATTGATAAGAAAGGTTCGCCCGCCTATGGTCTGGTGAACCTGAGGCAGGAGGGATGGGGGTTGTGAGGGTTGTAGGGAGATGGGATCATGATGACGACTATGTTAATGAATTGATGGACCCCATTTGTTCTGATAAAACATATCGGTGAATCCAGGATTTGTTTTCTGCGTGGTGCCTGCCCTTTTGGGCAGGTCCAGGTTTCTAAATTTGGTTTCGCCTCGCTCGTTGGCGCGGCCCGCGCGTCTTGTCTGCATTTCTCCATACTCTTGCAGACCCATAGCATGCGTGTTGTTGTCAGCAACCCTCCTGTGATGTATATATCTTGCACACAGGATCGATTGACGTCTTCATTTACTTCTTTTTTTTTTGTAAATGTTGCTTTTCTTGTTGGTATAAAGGCCGTACCTGTCCTGATTCTTCGTAATCGTGCACTCGCCCACCTCTTGTACCCTTGCGGGATTGGGTCTCCTACTGTCGGTAGGAGGCCTTTCAGGTAGAGTTTTCGTTCTTCTTTTGCTAATTCGGCCCTTTCTTCTGGGTCGATGGGAGCTTCCTTGGTTGCTTCCTCCCGAGATGTTAGACCAGTTGCAGGGCTGGTGCTGCTAGCTGCCTCCGAGGTGGCCTGGGGTGCTATGTTGCGCTTTTTGCACTCCCAGGAGACTAGGGAGAGGGAAGTGACGTCAACGACACAGCAAATGAAGATTGGATGTTGATTTCGTTTTCTTCTGTCAACATCCAATCTGCGTTTGCTGTGTCGTTGACGTCACCTCCCTCTTCCAAGTCTCCTGGGGGTGCAAAAAGCGCAACATAGCACCCCAGGTGTACCCTTACTGCCCGGGATGCCAGCGTGCTCGGATGGCCATTCAATTATCAGTGTAGAGCCTCGTTTTTTCATCTCCTCTGCGATTATTTTGATGTTTTTAACTGTCCGTTTCTTGTCCTGCTGTCTCTGCACGCTGTGAGTCCGTGAATGTTCGGGCCGTTTAGCCCGGCTGGAGAGTTGCTCTAACGGCTTCAGCAACTGCCATTGTAGCTGTCAGTTCGGTTTGTTTGACAGATGTCTGTTTTGGGGGCTTCGCTGTTTCAATTTTGTTTCCAGTTTCTTCTGCGTGCCATAGAAACGGCCGCGGTGCTCTTAGCAGCATTTGTGTCTTATTTCTTCATTTCTTCTGTACCTTGTTCCGGTAACCGGACAAAAGCTCACCGGACAAAAGCTCATCCGTTTTTTCGCAGACCCGGACAAAAGCTCACCTCTTTTTTTTTTCGCTACCCGGTCGAAACAAGGGCTTGGATAACGTGCGGACGCGATGGACATAGCACCATTTTTAGGAGAACTGGTACCCCATCCCATGCAAAGGTGTCGACAGATAAGCCATAACTGGCAAAGAAGCAACTTTTGGGACCAAAATTAAGATAACCGAAACTGAGTTGAGCTGATTAAGATCAAGCTTGCTTGACTCAACTTTCAATGTATGTCGGAGCACCCTTGTGTATCGCCCAAGAAACTTCGTGAACCGGAGTTTTTGAACCCGAAGAGGTGCACCGAGATCTACCAATACTGCTGGAGCTAGTAGGAAAATGCATTCGCTTCTAACCAATTGATAAATAAACTTGCTTCTACTTTAATCAACAAACCATATGCGCCTGTCAGATTAAATTTATCGTTGCATTTTAGTGTCGCAGGCAAGCACCTAAGTTGTCCGCACTCGTCTTAAGGCCAACATTAAATTTTCTTCTGGTGAGCTTTTATCCGGGTCTGTGAAAACTTGAGCTTTTGTCCGGCGAGCTTTTGTCCGGTGAGCTTCTGTCCGGTGAGCTTTTGTCCGGTGAGCTTTTGTCCGGGATTCCCTTGTTCCAGCCGCTTGTTGCGTTTCTTAGCTGCGAAGGCTCTTCTGCCCGTCCCTTCCTTGGGTGTCGGTTTGTGGTCCGTTAGTTTAATATGTCTTTCCAAGGTTGCAGGGCGTCCTCGAGTGGGCACCTTCTTTCCGCTGCATAGTCCAAAATCTCAAGAAGACGTCGGCCATGTGCGGTTCTCTCTAGGCGTTGAAAGTGCGCAATCTTTTGCGCCTTTTGCAAGAATTTTCATGTTTGTTTGTCCTGCTGGAGGGTTAGTTGGTCTCGTTGAGTGCGCTTCTCACCGTGCACTGGTGTACTGCAGCAGAGAAGTGAAAAACCGCGAAGTAGGCATCGCAATTTTGCGTGTCTTGCTTCGCCGCAATGCACCCCCGTGCTAAGGGGAAAGCACTCCTCTAGAGCGAGACGCGACCCAATTCCTGTCTACAACTTCGTACCTTTTTTTTTTTTTTTCAAATCGAGATTTAACGAGGATAGTTCGGTATTGCAAGAACATTTGTATGCACTCTTTTTATGTTTTTTTATTCCTACCAACTCATTTGTTTAGCCATCACTTTTATATAGATGTGAGTAAATTAGAACTAAATTGGTAGGAACCTCGGGAAGAACTTTCACGAGTTCAGCAGAATTGTCTTTAAGTTTCGTTCACATGCCGTTTTTGTTACGAAGTTCTACACATAAAATACCATTGACGTTCGTAATCAATTGACAATTGCTTTGGTTTCTATCTGAATTTCAAATTGCAGTTTTATTACAATTTTTTTAACTTGAAGGAAACATTAATTTATATGCTCAATATTGTATTACTTCACTGGGGTTCAGTGTTGGGTAAAGCACATCTAAAAGGTACTT